GGCTGGCGAGATCGCGTATGACTCTGGCAACTACCCGACGCTGAATCCTGCTGCCTTGCGGTTGGATCCCTATATGTTACCCGTATGACCTATATTTATGGTTGATCTTTCTGCGTGGCGTTTGGATGACTCTCGCTTCGGCCTGACGCATAATCCTTTGGCCTCGCAGTCTGGATTAACGAGAAATCCTTATCCATGTCCTTGTGCTATCCTGACTGCCCTTTCCGTGTGGCTTATGGATGACTCTCGCTTCAGCCTGACGCCTAATCCTGTCGCCTCGTACCTGTTGTTAGGCATCTGACGTTTCTGCTGTCTGCTCGTTTAATTGTTGCTTGAGCTCGCCAACGTGAACTGTCTTTTCTTTCTTCGACTGTGTGTGGCGAATTTTGCAGATCACTGGAGTGACGAAATCTACAACCTGGTAAGGGCCATCGTACCTCGGGGCTAGTTTTGCAGCGAATCCTTCGGCCGCTTTGGACAGGTGATGTTCCTTGGCCCACACTATGTCGCCCACCGCAGGTGACCATTGCCTCCTTCTCAGATTGTAGTGTCTGGCTTGGTCCTGGGACGCCTTTCCATATTTCGCCGCACGATCTCAAATACCTCTCTTAGTTTGTTGGCATTTTCCTCAGGGGTCTCCGTAGCTCGTCCCGTGCCTAGGGTTTCCTTATCATATAGGCTGCTGGGTAGACGTGGTTCCCTTCCCTGGGTAAGAAACGCCGGTGTATGGCCGGTGGATTCGATGTTCACTACTAGCATAATCTCCGGCCACTTCTCGTCCCAGTTTCTCTGGTCCTGCCCTGCGAACTGCGCAATCATGGTCTTGACCGTTCTGTTTGCTCGTTCGGTCGGATTCTCTTGTGGTGTGTATGGCGCGGTGAATTGTTGACTGATACCCATCTCAGCCAGGAAATTTTTTAATATGCGGCTTGCAAACTGTACTCCATTGTCCGTTATGACCACCGTCGGGACCCCGTACCTTGCGATTATGCGCTCCCTAAACGCCTTCTTGAGCGACTCTGCTGTCGCACTGCGTAGGGGCACCAGTTCCGTCCATTTCGAAAACCTGTCTATCATGACCAGCAGCATTTGGTTTCCGTGCTTAGATCTTGGTAGGAGTCCAACGAAGTCTGCACATACCGTGGCCCATGGTTCCTCCGGCACTTGGGTAAACATCTTCCCGGCCGCCTGCATCTGATTGGGCTTAAACCGCATGCAAATCTCGCATTTTCGTACGTGGGCTCGGGCGTCTCTATGCATGCCTGGCCAGTAGTATCGGGCTGCCAACCGTGCAATTGTCCTTCGGCTTCCTACGTGTCCCGCAGACGGTGCGTTGTGGTTCTCCCTCAACACTGCTTCTCGTAGCGACTTTGGGACGCACATCTTCCATGACGCGACGTCTTCACTGCCTGCTCGGTGAGGTATGTTTCTGTATAGTGTCTCACCCTCAATAACATAGTCCGGGTACTTCTGCGGTTGGGTCTTTATCTTTTCGCCCATGTCCTGGATCCAGCTGCACCCTCCTAAAGCTGTAGTTGCCGATGCCTCTTTTAAACCTCGTAGCGTTTCCGGTAGTGGTTGTCTTGCTAATGCGTCGGGCACCACGTTTAGCTGACCCTTTCTGTACGCTATCTCAAAGTCGTACTGTTGTAGCTCCAGGGCCCATCTGGCGATCCTTCCTGAAGGGCTTTCGATGCTGTTGAGCCACTTCAGGGTCATGTGGTCGGTTACTATCTTGAAGTGGTAACCTTCCAGATATGGCCTGAGCTTCCGGATCGCCCAGACGATCGCCAAACACTCCTTCTCCGTTCTCGAGTAGTTCTTTTCCGCGCCGTTCAGTGTTCGGCTTGAGTAGAAGATTACTCTTTCGCCCTTTTCGGTGTCCTGGGTCAGTATCGCTCCGATGCCGTAGTCGCTGGCGTCTGTTTGCAGGATGAAAGTTCTACTGAAGTCCGGGCATGCTAGCACTGGATCTGCCACGAGTCTTGCCTTAACCTCCTCAAACGCCATCTGGTGCTCTGGTGTCCACTCCCACTTACTGCCTTTGCGCAGCAGGTCATTCAGGGGTTTGACGATTCTGGAAAAATCTGGTACAAATCGGCGGTACCACGACGCTACTCCTAGGTATTGCCGAAGTTCTTTGACGGTCGATGGCGGTTCCAGTTCGGCTTTGGCGGCTACTTTTTCTGGATCTGTTCCTATTCCCTCGCTTGTCACACGATTTCCCAGGTACAGTAGTTCCTTTTTAAAGAATTGGCATTTTTCTGGATTCAGCCTCAGGTTTGCCTCTTTTAGACGCCGGAACACTTCTCTCAGGTTTCTTTTGTGTTCTTCCAGCGTGCGACCGATCACTATTATGTCATCTGATGTAACGAACTGATTTTGTGTGTCTGCTCGCTACGAGATTCGTGCGGCTAGCTCAGAAGATTGTGCGTTCGTCCCACCAAATTTGTATGACGTGATTGCCCGTAGATCAGTGAGAAAACATAGGGTTCAAATGGTAACAGTGGGATTTATTCTCGTGGTATTAGTACAGCGGGTGTGTGGCTGGGATAGCTTTGGTATCTCTTGGCTCTGGTTCCGCCGGCTGCTGGCGCTCCTCTTGCTGGCTCCTCGACGCGTTGACTCGTCTTCCTCTGGATCCTGGGTCTCGGGGCGCTCGTAGTGGCCGCCTCTGCTTGCTTGCCGATGCGTTGCCTCGGGGTCGCTTGTTGCGCCTTAGACCCGCAGAGAGTTCGGCCTTGTGGACTTAGGGAAGCGTCACCGTTCTCAGACTAGGGTGAACAAGCCTTGCTCTCCAGGCCGACGCCTTTCAAGGCAATGCCTGTCCCTTGCTCTGTCCCGGACGGTCCCGCTAGGTTCTTGCTCAGTTCGCGCTGACAGTCGAGGCTGCCGCCAGGAGGCTGTCTAGCGGTTCACTTCGCTTTACGCCTAGCGCAGACGAACATTCCACCCGGCTTTACCCTAATGCGTGACGTCCGCGACGCTCCTGCGCTCCCCAATGAGCTCCGCGCGGCGATGGTAACGTGGCTGCCGAAAATGTCTGCTGGCGTCGCTGTCGATGTCCTCTGCGCTGTCTTCTGACCAGTATCTCGTCGTTCTGGCGCTCGGGGAGCTGGGCGGTCGCTGCTCGGGAACTTCGCCGGTAATTGCAGGGCTCTCCAGGCTGCCGCCTCTTGAAACCGCAAATCGTTCTACCGCTCGTCCGTCACGCCAGGTCCTGCTTGGTCGGGCAAGGTACGCTGGGTCGCAGGCAACTTTCCTCCCCAAGCTGACGGCTCTTCGTCGTAGGACTCTTTTGCTTGTCTCTGACAGACCCGCCGGGCGACTCGCCAGGGTGTGGTCGTGACAAAGTTAGAAAACAAACGCCTTGACTTAGCCGCGTGATGCCTTCCAGAACTCAGCCACCTGTGTCTCAATTCGGAGATTCCTGATGTCCTAATCCCGAACGTCTCGACGTGGCGATCTTGCTCCTTGTGTGCTTCCCACGGCGCTGCTTCCGACGACTCGCTTGGTGGTAGCTCCCTCGTAGATTATTTGCTTGACTGACTGTTTACTTGGTACTTTAACTGATCTTGAAGGTTTGACTCCTCGTGATCGACTGATCCAGCTGCCAGCGCTCTGCGGCCTTATATAGGGCCTCCGGGAACCGTTATTTCCCTTTTGCGCACGGCCCGCTGGATCTCTCCACTCTGGGTACAAAGTCCGTGACCCCTGGTTGACCCACTTGTCCTTCACGTACCGCTTCCAATCGATGCTCCGCCCACTGCTGCCATTCTGCTGATTCCCGTGTTGCTTGTGGCACGCCTGTGTGCCGTTCCACTGCCGAGATGTGGCACTTCCTCTCCCGGTCCAAAGTTCACGGGAGAGTCCAAAGTCCGGTGGAGTTCCGTTATCCTGTTTTTGCACACGGCACTCTTGCCTTACCCGCGAAGTCTCCATTCTCTGTCGTTCTCCATGCTTTGTCTCCAAACTCTCTCGCTCTCCATCCTTGGTCTCCAAACTCTCTCGTTCTCCATCCAAGTCTCCAAACTGTCTAATCGCCGCGCCGTTACTACGCGAATTCGCCGCGTATCTGGTAAGCGGCCGGCCACCTGCTGCTGGTTCTATTTGTGGGGAGTTATTCAACTCCTCACATTCCCCCCTTACTTCGGGAAACATTTGAAACTTGTTTCTACTCTCCGGCGTTTCCTTGCATGTCCTAGCCTTCTAGTCCTTGTGATTCCCGCGGCGCTCCCTCGTTGCTCCCTCGATGCTCCCTCGACGCTCTTAACTCCCTTGAGTTTCTACAGCGCTGATCATCCTCCTCGTAGCAACTTTAAATCTCCCGCTCCGATGTTTCCCGTGTTTCCAATGGGACATCGATACTCATGGGCTATCGATCCCCAGCTCGCTGCTCATTGCTGCGTTCTACTCCTTTTATTGGTTCCTCCGCCTGGTCACACCATTCGTGCGTGATAGATGTTTATTCGCATATCGATACCGACGGTGCGGCGTTGCCACCTGCTTGTTGCGATATTTCCACCTTGGCCGATATTTCCATTTTCGTGTGCCCATCGATCGCACTATCGTCCAGTGCCAATCGATCGCCTATCGAGGCGCCCCCTTCCCTGGCTCGTGGTGATTTTGCAATTTTTCATAGGTAAGTTCCTTTTGCATACTTCTTACTCCTTCTCATCTTATCCTTCTCTATCCTTTCGTCCTCTCTCGCCCTTCACTTGTCCTCTATCGGTTGCATCGGACTCCATATTGGCAGCTCTCGAGAGCGGGTGCGGAGAGAACTTCGCATTCACATTGCAACCGGGACAGCAGGTAAGTAATTTACGTTCATTTCTTTTTCCTATACTAAGACCATTTGACTTACAGGTTGCTGGAGTGGCCCATGCATGCCCCGTTCTTCTTCCAGCCACCCCCAAACAAATTCTTGGCCCCGTACCCCCTTCTCTTGTTGCTTGGGAAACCCTTGTGTTGTTTTTATTTTTTATTTTTTTTCCGTTTATTTATTGAGTGAACACCCCGATGCCCGCGACTCCGAGCCTCACCCGGTACCTCCTTCCGCCTTCGCAGACCAGGACGCAACGCCTGCCGCCCTTCCGCCGTGCCGTCGCGACCGCGAGTGCCTCCTCAATTCCCTCCGGCCACTCGCTCCTGGCGACCTCGCGCCAACCGCCTTCTTCCGGGGCCGAAACTTGCCGCATGAACTGCGGCCGCGGGCGCGTCGATCCGGGCGTCGAAGCTTGACGCTGCAACGGAGGTCTTTGGGTGGCCGGTGGCTCGGGCCACACCCACGGTCCCTTCTCCAGCGACTCCGCCCCGTCGTCGCCGGTGTTGGCGGGCCCGTGCTTGGTGTCGGCGGAACCCACGCATCCTGTCGGCTTCTCGTCCGGGAGTCCCGAGGGTTCACCTTGGGTACCCCCTCCTCCCATATCCTGGGCTCCTCCTTCGTCGGCCCTGTCTTGGGCCTCGCGGGCCTCTCGGGTTACGTCCATATCAGCGTCTGCTGCCGCCACCGTACGCCCTCGGCCACGAACGCCCGTGTGCTCACGTGCGCGGCCGGCACCTCCGTCCGCACCACCGACGGCTCCTCCGCCCGTGCCTGGTGGACTTCCTCCTTCTGCGGTTGTGGCATCGGCTGCGCGGTCGACACCTCGCTTGGCGTCTGCTCCTCCGGTCGCTGTGGCTCCATGTATCGCGGCGTGGGTGGCCGGGCCGGCCTCCACGGCGGCGTGGCAAACGGTGCTCCTCCGTCTCGAGCGTCGTCTGTGAGCCACTCCCCCTCGTAGCGGGGAGTGGGTGGTACCTCTGGCAACCACCGCGGAGGGGATGGCGCGCATGGCTCGTCCCCATCCTCGCTCCTCGGGCTGGGCTCCTCGGCCGCGTATCTGGGGGTGAGTGGCACCTCCCACGAATCCTCCACCGGTGCCTCCCACAGCCGTCGCTCCTCTTCCTCCGCCTCTCGCAAGCGGGCATGCCATCGCGCCGCCGCCGCCTCGTGGTCCTGCCGCCGCCGCGTCTGCCATCTCGCCTCCTCCTCCGTCGACCGCTGCTGCTCCACGTCCGACGGCTCCCGGTCTCGGAACCGTTTCCGAGTCTCCTCGGTGGCCCGACAGACCTCCTCCGAGTGGCTCCTCGGGAGTTCCGCTCCTCCTCCGACTTCCGTCGTCCCGCGCGGTATCCGACCGCCCGCCGCCGCCTTCCGGAGTCGCCACTCTCTCTCCTAGACGGCGGGATCGCCGACCACCTCCACGTCGCTGTCGGAGCTCACCGCGGGTTCTGGTGCGGAGTCCTCGTCTCGGGACCGCTCCAGGGCCCGCCGCGGAGCTCCGGTAGGCCGGGTCTCCATCCATCCTTGCCCCGGGCGAGGTTCCTGGAGGGCCGCCATCCTCCTGCGTGCTTCGGCTCTGGTGACGCGTATGCTCATCTTGGTGTTCTGAATTGTAGTGTTCGACCGTCGCCAGGCTCCCCATACATGAAACCTCGGTTGCGCGCCTTCCTTTTGCCCGATACCGTTATGTCCTTTCTTTGGGGTGCTCGCTCTCTTACGGTACAGCTCTCTTTGCTGTACCGTCTTCTCCTTTCTTCGTAAACCACAAGTTGTACTCCCTCAGATCACCGTGGCGATCTAAATGCTGCGGTTCGTTGTACCTCCCGGTTCCGTAACCAACATACTTGAGACCCTACCTTGATCACCCTTGGTGAGTATCCTTGGAAGTTGTCCTTGGGCCTACACCTTGCTTCGTTGCGTTCCTGGTTGGTATCCTTGGTATCCTTGGGGCATTATTGGGGTATCCTTGAGGTGTCTTTTGAGTACTATTGGGTATCCTTGGGGTATCATTGGGCTATCCCTAGGGTATCCTTCGGGTGTCCCTTGGGTACTACTGGGGTATCCTTGGGTATCCTTGGGTATCCTTGGGGTATCGTTGGGCTATCCCTAGGGTATCCTTCGGGTGTCCTTCGGGTACTATTGGGGTATCCTTGGGTATCCTTGGGTATTTTTGGGGTATCGTTGGGCTATCCCTAGGGTATCCTTCGGGTGTCCTTTGGGAACTCTTAGAGGTATTGTTAGGGTATCCTTGTTGACGTGATATGCTTTCGCTACTGTTGTTGTCGACCTTGTCCGTGTCCTTCCCGCCTGGCCTAACCACGGATGACTCTGGCAACTGCCCGACGCTGAATCCTGTTGCCATTGCGGGCGGCTCACTATATGTTACCCGTATCCTTGTGATGTTCTGTAAATGTCCCTTCCGCCTGGCGTAATTGCGGATGAGTCTGGCAACTGCCCGACGCTGAATCCTGCTGCCTTGCGGTTGTATCCCTATATGTTACCCGTATCCTTGTGCCGTTTTGTAAGTGTCCCCTCCGCCTGGCGTGATCGCGGATGACTCTGGCAACTGCCCGACGCTGAATCCTGCTGCCTTGCGGTTGGATCCCTATATGTTACCCGTCCTTGTGCTATCCTGACTGCCCTTTCCGTGTGGCTTATGGATGACTCTCGCTTCAGCCTGACGCCTAATCCTGTCGCCTCGTACCTGTTGTTAGGCATCTGACGTTTCTGCTGTCTGCTCGTTTAATTGTTGCTTGAGCTCGCCAACGTGAACTGTCTTTTCTTTCTTCGACTGTGTGTGGCGAATTTTGCAGATCACTGGAGTGACGAAATCTACAACCTGGTAAGGGCCATCGTACCTCGGGGCTAGTTTTGCAGCGAATCCTTCGGCCGCTTTGGACAGGTGATGTTCCTTGGCCCACACTATGTCGCCCACCGCTGGTGACCATTGCCTCCTTCTCAGATTGTAGTGTCTGGCTTGGTCCTGGGACGCCTTTCCATATTTCGCCGCACGATCTCAAATACCTCTCTTAGTTTGTTGGCATTTTCCTCAGGGGTCTCCGTAGCTCGTCCAGTGCCTAGGGTTTCCTTATCATATAGGCTGCTGGGTAGACGTGGTTCCCTTCCCTGGGTAAGAAACGCCGGTGTATGGCCGGTGGATTCCGATGTGCTCGTGTTCACTGCTAGCATAATCTCCGGCCACTTCTCGTCCCAGTTTCTCTGGTCCTGCCCTGCGAACTGCGCAATCATGGTCTTGACCGTTCTGTTTGCTCGTTCGGTCGGATTCTCTTGTGGTGTGTATGGCGCGGTGAATTGTTGACTGATACCCATCTCAGCCAGGAAATTTTTAAATATGCGGTTTGCAAACTGTACTCCATTGTCCGTTATGACCACCGTCGGGACCCCGTACCTTGCGATTATGCGCTCCCTAAACGCCTTCTTGAGCGACTCTGCTGTCGCACTGCGTAGGGGCACCAGTTCCGTCCATTTCGAAAACCTGTCTATCATGACCAGCAGCATTTGGTTCCCGTGCTTAGATCTTGGTAGGGGTCCAACGAAGTCTGCACATACCGTGGCCCATGGTTCCTCCGGCACTTGGGTAAACATCTTCCCAGCCGCCTGCATCTGATTGGGCCTAAACCGCATGCAAACCTCGCATTTTCGTACGTGGGCTCGGGCGTCTCTATGCATGCCTGGCCAGTAGTATCGGGCTACCAACCGTGCAATTGTCCTTCGGCTTCCTACGTGTCCCGCAGACGGTGCGTTGTGGTTCTCCCTCAACACTGCTTCTCGTAGCGACTTTGGGACGCACATCTTCCATGACGCGACGTCTTCACTGCCTGCTCGGTGAGGTATGTTTCTGTATAGTGTCTCACCCTCAATAACATAGTCCGGGTACTTCTGCGGTTGGGTCTTTATCTTTTCGCCCATGTCCTGGATCCAGCTGCACCCTCCTAAAGCTGTAGTTGCCGATGCCTCTTTTAAACCTCGTAGCGTTTCCGGTAGTCGTTGTCTTGATAATGCGTCGGCCACCACGTTTAGCTGACCCTTTCTGTACGCTTTCTCAAAGTCGTACTGTTGTAGCTCCAGGGCCCATCTGGCGATCCTTCCTGAAGGGCTTTCGATGCTGTTGAGCCACTTCAGGGTCATGTGGTCGGTTACTATCTTGAAGTGGTAACCTTCCAGATATGGCCTGAGCTTCCGGATCGCCCAGACGATCGCCAAACACTCCTTCTCCGTTGTCGAGTAGTTCTTTTCCGCGCCGTTCAGTGTTTGGCTTGAGTAGGAGATTACTCTTTCGCCCTTTTCGGTGTCCTGGGTCAGTATCGCTCCGATGCCGTAGTCGCTGGCGTCTGTTTGCAGGATGAAAGTTCTACTGAAGTCCGGGCATGCTAGCACTGGATCTGCCACAAGTCTTGCCTTAACCTCCTCAAACGCCATCTGGTGCTATGGTGTCCACTCCCACTTACTGCCCTTGCGCAGCAGGTCATTCAGGGGTTTGACGATTCTGGAAAAATCTGGTACAAATCGGCGGTACCACGACGCTACTCCTAGGTATTGCCGAAGTTCTTTGACGGTCGATGGCGGTTCCAGTTCGGCTATGGCGGCTACTTTTTCTGGATCTGTTCCTATTCCCTCGCTTGTCACTCGATTTCCCACGTACAGTAGTTCCTTTTTAAAGAATTGGCATTTTTCTGGATTCAGCCTCAGGTTTGCCTCTTTCAGACGCCGGAACACTTCTCTCAGGTTTCTTTTGTGTTCTTCCAGCGTGCGACCGATCACTATTATGTCATCTGATGTAACGAACTGATTTTGTGTGTCTGCTCGCTACGAGATTCGTGCGGCTAGCTCAGAAGATTGTGCGTTCGTCCCACCAAATTTGTATGACGTGATTGCCCGTAGATCAGTGAGAAAACAAAGGGTTCAAATGGTAACAGTGGGATTTATTCTCGTGGTATTAGTACAGCGGGTGTGTGGCTGGGCTAGCTTTGGTATCTCTTGGCTCTGGTTCCGCCGGCTGCTGGCGCTCCTCTTGCTGGCTCCTCGACGCGTTGACTCGTCTTCCTCTGGATCCTGGGTCTCGGGGCGCTCGTAGTGGCCGCCTCTGCTTGCTTGCCGACGCGTTGCCTCGGGGTCGCTTGTTGCGCCTTAGACCCGCAGAGAGTTCGGCCTTGTGGGCTTAGGGAAGAGTCACCGTTCTCAGACTAGGGTGAACAAGCCTTGCTCTCCAGGCCGACGCCTTTCGAGGCAATACCTGTCCCTTGCTCTGTCCCGGACGGTCCCGCTAGGTTTTTGCTCAGTTCGCGCTGACAGTCGAGGCTGCCGCCAGGAGGCTGTCTAGCGGTTCACTTCGCTTTACGCCTAGCGCAGACGAACGTTCCACCCGGCTTTACCCTAATGCGTGACGTCCGCGACGCTCCTGCGCTCCCCAATGAGCTCCGCGCGGCGATGGTAACGTGGCTGCCGGAAATGTCTGCTGGCGTCGCTGTCGATGTCCTCTGCGCTGTCTTCTCACCAGTATCTCGTCGTTCTGGCGCTCGGGGAGCTGGGCGGTCACTGCTCGGGAACTTCGCCGGTAATCGCAGGGCTCTCCAGGCTGCCGCCTCGTGAAACCACAAATCGATCTACCGCTCGTCCGTCACGCCAGGTCCTGCTTGGTCGGGCAAGGTACACTTAGTCGCAGACAACTTTCCTCCCCAAGCTGACGGTTCTTCGTCGTAGGACTCTTTTCCTTGTCTCTGACAGACCCGCCGGGCGACTCGCCAGAGTGTGGTCGTGACAAAGTTAGAAAACAAACGCCTTGATTTAGCCGCGTGATGCCTTCCAGAACTCAGCCACCTGTGTCTCAATTCGGAGATTCCTGATGTCCTAATCCTGAACGTCTCGACGTGGCGATCTTGCTCCTTGTGTGCTTCCCACGGCGCTGCTTCCGACGACTCGCTTGGTGGTAGCTCCCTCGTAGATTATTTGCTTGACTGACTGTTTACTTGGTACATTAACTGATCTTGAAGGTTTGACTCCTCGTGATCGACTGATATTGCCGAAGTTCTTTGACGGTCGATGGCGGTTCCAGTTCGGCTATGGCGGCTACTTTTTCTGGATCTGTTCCCATTCCCTCGCTTGTCACTCGATGTCCCAGGTACAATAGTT